CTGAGGCCGGGAACCAGGGCCGGGCGAGGGGCGCGGGTCGCCCGCCGGTGGGAGCCGGGCTGCGGGTCCCCTCGGAAGAACCGTACTTTACCAGCAGGCAGGAGCGCGGTGTGGACGGCAGAGGGGCGGATTGTCCCGAGGAAGCGGCCTGGGGCGAAGGCAGCGATCGCCTTGGGAGCCGCGTTCACGCTGCCACCTGTGTGTGCAGCCTAAGGGTGCAGCGAATTGAGACACAGCGTCCTGGAGGAGTGATGCCTGATTTGTGGCGATCATTGTCATAGTCGTTTTGTTTGCAGCGGCATAAACCGATGGTTTCTATCATGTATTTACAACGTGTGTGTGTGTGTGTGTGTGTGTGTGTGTGTGTGTGTGTGTGTGTGTTTGCGCGCACGCGTGTGTGCAGTAATAGAAAACAGCTCACCTAACCATGATCCGGACACATTCTGGCCATGTGTGAGACACCGCTAGCGATGAAGGAGGGCCTGTTGCCAACTGGGAAATAGGCTCAGCTCACTCCCTAAGTTTTAGAGACTCCACATACCGGACAAGAACGCGAGCCTGCCTGTATCCCCTTTCCGGCAGTTTCATCAGGGCACCTGGAAGTTGGTTTAGACTATTGAGAGGAGATTGAGAGTATCTGTGATGATCCTTTGTGATTGCTCTGCCAGTTCTGTTAAGGTTTCCATTATTTGTGCCCGCCCTTTTCAGCTGGTTGCTACCTTGCCTGAGCATGTTCAGCCCGGGCCTGACTTTTATGGGCTCCCCCGGAAGCCTGTGTTGTTTACTGCCTGTTTGGGAATCGTTTTGTTGGCCATTTTCTTCTGGAGGACGGTCCTTGCTGTGAGTGAATTGACTTGGTCTTTGACTTCTGAATACATCGAGCATTCTATTATCATTGGCCCTTTCGGTTATTTACATAAACAAATCAGTAGTTATAATTCAAGCTAGTTTTCTGAAATAATTTAATGTAATCTTGGTATTGGCAAGGACTTAAGAGCAAGCTAAGCATATCCACTTGTTAGTAGAGTTGGGGACTCATACAGCCATCCTAAAAAGCCATTTAATAATTCTATATATCACAAGCCTTTAAAATGGGATACAAAACAGGATAAGAAATATAAATTGTTTTCATATGGTATGATAATATCAGTACATGATCTTAAAGAAATAAATTATATGTTAAGATTTTATACAAAGGTGTTAGATGAAATACTATTTAATAGAGTAATAACTTGGCAAGACTTAAATGATCTATATTAGGCAATATCATGTTTCATCTTATTTATATCCACAGAACAGAATAATTAGACTGCTGTGTGTATTTCAAAGGCAGGGTGCAAAGAAGGTGTTCACAATTTAATGTGAAGTGGGAAAAGTGGAAACGGACCATGAGGTGTTGATAAACTGTGTTGTAGAAACATACAGGGCAAGAAATACCGTAAGATGGTAGAAATGTCGAGGCAAGATCAGGCATAGTGGTGCGTGTATTCCTGCAGCCCTGGTGGAGCGGGAGGCTGAGGCAGGAGAAGCGCAAGTTTAAGCCCAGCCTGGGCAACTTGGTCACTTACCAAGAGCCTGTCTCAAGAATTAATGGGAAGGCTGAGAATGTAGTTCATTGTGAAGGCCCTATCCCTGATACCAAAAACAACCCCCAAAAAGCACGTTATTAAAGATTCCTGTGAGGACTTCTAGAATCTCACTGAACAGCTTCTTGCATGAAAGAACACCTGGAAGGGTAAGCAGGAGTGTGTGTGGGTGAAAACGTGCTGTTTCCCCTGCTCCTCTCCTTTTGCTCCCCTGCAGCTGCTTCCCAGCAGGGCTCTCAGGCTCAGCCCTGCAGCTTCACACCCTGCACCTGGGCTCACTTCCTCCCACTCCCTGAGGTCCAGTGGCTCTGAGGCACTACCCCTCATCCTGGAGAGGACAGTCGTCCCCCCTACAACCCCGTGGCCACTGTGCTCTGCTGTCCTATAGCACTCGGAAGGAGAAGACAGAGTCTGTATTACAGAGAAGTGCAGTGATCGCTGCTGTGGTATTTAATTAGTTACAGTTTAGGATTTATGACTCCAGAAGTCACTGGAAGGAAGAACTGGGTCTGTGCTCTTCCTGGAAGCCGTTAGCTGTCATTTCTCTGTGTTCTTCTGATGTCTTCCCTTCTGCTTAGATTTATTACTGTTTTTGTGGTCTGGGGAAATCAGATGATGAGGTGTATTAGATTATTTCTTAATTGCACAAATAGATCACTTGAAATAGGGTTTCTGAGGTATCTTCCAGTGAGTGACAGGCGTATCTTAGTGCAAAGATTATGCTGGTAATCTCGCTCACCAGTCTTCCATATGGTCACCATTTCTAGACTGCATGCTTGCTGTTCGGGATTGTCAAGTAATTCTGAGTAAGTAATAATGTGCATCTTATAAAAACAAGCATTTCACTGTTGAAGACAAAGGCTCATCTCATAAGCTTGGTGTTCCCTTGGTACTGGCACATAAACCTGTGTGTAGCTGTGAAGTAAGACACATTCCTTACTGTTCTCTGTATCAGAGGCTATTTATAATACATTTTTAATTGTATGGATTTATCCTGAACTAAACAGTTGCTAAATTTTCATTTGGTTATGATCCTGACTTGTGTTAGGAACTATGTATTTCTTTTAATCAAATGTTTGACATCAAAGTTAATTCTCTCTCTTCTAGGTGAAGGAGAGAATATACCAAGGTAAATCTCTTCCTGTTGGTGTTTGGGAGGACTTTTTTAGGCAGGCTAGGAGAGACAGTGACTTTGGTGTCTGATTTGACTTACTAACTGCTCCACATTTTACTGTTGCTACTAACCATGGTATAACGGGGAGGATGATGGTACTGGCTGAGGTAGGAGATGTGGGGGCAGAGGGGTGACTGCTTACATGGAGCAGACCGAGCGTGGCTGGACCACACAGGTGTGGAGAGAGGACAGTGTGTCTGTGCTAGGGACACCTCGGCCCCTATAGGTTTATCAGCACAGGAGCTTGAGAGACAGCAGTGTAGATCAGTAGCCTGAAGTTGCTGTTTCTCCTTGCAAATGACATTCATTTGAAGTGATTCCGTTGTCAGAGAACAAGTACCTTTTGTGAAGTGAGCCTCTCCAACTATGTAACATTTTACTGTATCTCCTGCCTTTGCAGTAAATTGCTATTTCATCAAAACAAGTGTTACTATAGTTTAACAGTGTCCTGTGCACTGTTGCTGGTCTTTCTGGAAAGGCAGGTAGCTGTGCGAAGCTCTGTCTCTCACGGAGCCTCACACAAGTCCTTGCTGCTCAGTTCCATTTAGTGCTCCTAATAACCTGGCTTTTCCTCTTTTTAGTCACTGAACAGCAGATGGCTGAGAAGGTGAAGAATACCACAAAGGACAATGCAAAACTTGTCCCAAAAGTGTCAAGTTATAAACAGAAGGTAGAACCTGTTTCACGGCCCCTCCTCTAGCATGTCTGTGGTGTAGCTCAGTTATTACGGTATTTTGAAGGCCTATGTTCTCGCTTGATCATTTCCCCTGAGCCCTCCAGATCTTACACACCATCATGTAAAGTGAACGCTCTGCTCGCTTCCTTGGAACAAGGTTTGTTTTAGTAGCACAGTGACTTCTGTTACTTAATTCTGAATGTGTTTTTTACATAGATCGCAGAATCGAAGAAGCTTATTCTGAAGACCAAGGAAAAAAATTCTCACCAAACAATTAAATACAAGGTAAAAGTCCTTCTCTTTTTGGGATTATAGTCTAAAAACAGAAGCAGGCATTAATGCGTATTGTTATTTTTAATATCTTTTCTTGTAGGCTGAAATCGAGGTACTTGAAGAAAGAAATAAATTTCTGACGGGTATTGCCAAAACTCTTGGTGTTATATTCAAATCTGAGAGGAAACGAAATGTGCAAAATCAGGATTTGGTGAGTTCTGCTGCTGTGTGTTACTACAGTTGTACTTTTAGCTATTTCATAAATTATCTGAATTGTTTCCATGCTGTTAACTCCTTAAGATTCAGAATAACAGAAGTGAACATGCCTGTACCCATTTTGTGGGATTTTTAGTACTAACCCAGTAGGACCTTTTTATAGGCACGGGAAGTGTTTTGATCCTGAAACTTGGATAATTTCATAGCTGAGTCCTCCAGAACACACAGTCACTAAGAAACTGGTCCAGTTGAGGAGTCTGTGTAAACTGGTTTTATTTCACAGTAGACTCTGTGCCTTTTGAATAGTTTTAAAATCCGCTAAGTGGAAATGTAGTGAGGAGAGTGTTCATGCTTCCCGCCTCCTGTGTGGCCTGGTCCTTTGCTCAGCACAGAGCTGGTAAGTTGCCCATTTTCAGTCCTTTGTGCACCATGCTCTTTGGCAGGAAGTCATGACACACAACCTGCAGTTAAAAGAACGGTGGGTTAGGGTCACACCTTGAGCCTGGATTGTCATAAATATTGAGAAATTCTGCACATGAGATTTTTCTATTCCCCCAGAAACACTTTTTTTTTGTGTGTTGTTTTGTTTTGGTTTTTTCTTTTTGAGACTGGGTTTTGTTATGTAGTTCAGGCTGGCTGTGAACTCACTTTGTAGCCTAGGCGGGCCTTAAACTCTCCTCTTCCCTCCTTCCCTCCCACAAGGCAGCCCTCTGCAAGCCTGAACTTCGCAGGCCGCAACATCCCGAGAGCCCACTCAGATGAGTCTCTCCGGGGCCTCAAGGCCCAGACTCAGGGGCACTGTGCCACCTGCCCTGGGCACGGTTCCCTGAGCTCTGGTACAGAGCCCGGGTACTCCGGGCTCGAGGTTTTCACTTAGCCCTGGGCCGTGTGCGGGCCCACCCCGATTGCAGTGGGAGAGCAGGGTCTTGGGAGCCGGCGCCCGCCTCGTCACTCCCAGCCGCCTCCGGCCTCGGCATGGTGGGGGCCCGCGGTGTCACCCTCTCCCTCTCTGCACAGTGCTCAACGTGTGTGTGCACTTTCTTCACCGGACCGCCAGGGGCCGCTCCTGAGCTCAGCGGTTCCGCGTGTTGCTTGTTTCGCACGCTGCTACCAAAGCTCGTGGCCGCTGGGTGCGGGCTCGGTCTTCCGCGTCCCTGTTTTCCTCCTCCACAGCCTGGGACCCAAAGCCGTCTCCGCCTCTGGCTGGGGCTGCTGCGGCGCAGCCTTCCCAGCTCTCCAGGTCCACCAAGCGCTGGCCTGGTTGATCCTGCGCAGGCGCAGAGGCCGCCTTCGAGCCCCCCCCCCCCGCCCCCTTGACCCCTGCCCAGTGAGCCGGGCGAGGCTGGCTCCCTTGCAAGGGATCTGTGGCCTCGCGCCTCCCACGGGCCTTGCAGCAGCCCGGTCGGAGCCGGCCGAGCCTCAGCTCCCTCCAGGGCCAGTGGACAGGGCTCTGCCGCGTCCCCGAGCGTCCCCGGGGGCTCTTCTGACAGTGCACACGGCCCCTTCTCGTCCTGGTCCTGGGAGAGTCCTCTGAGTGCCTTCTCTGCCCCCAGATCCCGGCCCCGGGCCTGTGGCCTACAGCGACTCCCGCGGCTCCTCCCTGGCAAAGGGCATGGACGACGGCAAGGTGAGCCTGGGAGCCGCGCCCAAGGCACTCCACGCACCCTCGGTTTCCTCTCTGTTCTTCAGCGGGCCTGGGCGTAGAGACCCCCGGCTGACTCAGCTGTCACCATCTGACTCGGGACTTCGCTATGGCTTGGGGCCCGGGGCACGTGCTGAGTGCTGGGGCAAAGCACGCCTCACACCCTGGGCAGCCCGTGCCTTGTGTCTTTTGCTTGTTACTTGTTTTGAGTCAGAGTTTCCTTATGCAGCTCAAACTAGCCTTGACCTCACAGTACCCAGAGCTGACCTCCAGTTCCCTAGCAGTCCTCCCGCCTCAGCCTCCCGAGTGCCAGGATGACCGGTGTGTGTGTGTCCACACTCGCTTGTTCTTGTTTTCTTGGGGAGCAGCTGTGAGGGTCCTCGGGGTCTGTGCTAGGCAGACCCCTTGGAATGATCAGAATGAGGTGGGTGTCGGCTCTGGTGCTCTGGTGGGAGTGGGACACTAGTTCAGGGACCCATGAACCGGGTCCCGGGCGGCCCAGGCTGCTGTGCCGCCTTGGTCCTGACGCTGCCGCCTCAGCAGCCTTCCCAACGAACGGGGCCCACCTGTGAAGGTCAGAGGTCTCTGGCCTGCCTTCTGGTCAGCGCAGGCACAGGCGCCTCCACCAGGCCCTCCCTGTGCAGTGTCACTGGCCGAGGCAGCTCCCTGTTCTCCCGAGACCCCCGGGACCCTGGGAACCCTTGCGTTGCCCCTGTCATGCCCAGGGCTGCGCTCATGCTGGCAGGAGTGAGCGAGCTGGTGCAGCGCCCACTGGCCCCTCTGGAGCTCATCTCTCCACACGAGAGTGGGGACAGCGTGCTCGCCGCGTGGCGTGCTGCTCACATAGGGGCTGACAGGGGCCGGGATCCCTTGACTCCTCTCGGGATGGGCACCCAGTGTCACTGCTGAGCTCAGAACTGGGCTTGCTTCTGTTTGCAGGTGAGCATGGCTGCGAAAGGGCTCCCAGCCTATCCAGGGCCCCCGTTCCTGGGACGCCCCATGCCGCGCCCGGTGGTCTATGGGCCTCCGCCACAACCAAGGCTCTGTGGGACTTTCAGGCCTCGGCCGATGCCTCCGCCGCGACCGCTGACATTCGGTACGGTAGGACACTTGGACTGGCACCACCGCCTGCCCTGTCCTCTCCTCTCCTGTCCTGATTGGCAGCTGCAGCCCTGCAGACTCGCAGCACGAGGTCCAGCACTCTGAGCCCAGTGCAGCCTCTGGACAGCTGCTCAGACCAGAAGGGTCCTTCCCGCAGAGCCGAAATGCCAGTCCCACCGGGGTGGTCACCCGGGCCACCATGGGCGTGTGGCAGTGGGAGAAGGGAGGGTCAGGCTGTAGTTGAGCCGTAAAACTTTATCTGTAAAGTCCAATGCATCACTCAGCTTCCTGGCTCAGGGGAAGGGAAATGCTTTGAGCAGACTTGGGCTGCTCCTCAGGACATGTCCGCGTGTCCCCCTTGCTTTCCAGTCTCATGCATGGGCCCACCACTGGGCTTAAGGGAATACGCGCCCGGCATCCTGCCCAGACGCTGCGACCTGCCGCTGCACCCCCGTGAGTTCTTGCCGGGACCTGTGCCATTCAGGCCTCGAGGCCCGATCATTCCTGCTCCTCGAATGCCACCACCACCCGCCGGGCCCCAGGACTACCCACCGCCACCTGCCGCAGGGGAGCCCCTGCTCTCGGAGCCCAAAGAGGCCCCAGCCTCGCCACAAAGCAGCCGAGAACCTGCCCAAGCTCTGAGGCAGAGTGCATAATGGCCCCACTAATCAGAGGCCCAAGGTTTTTATTGGTTTTGGAGGCCCAGTTCATTTCAAAAGGATTTTATTACTAAGCTGCCTTGAGCGGTGTACATTTTCAAGCCAAACAATACAGAAGTCTCATCTTCCTCTATAAAAATTGCCTCTTAAGCTAGAGTGACATTCCAACTTTGAAATGTGCAATAATGATCCCTGTGTTTTAGTTAATATAGCATAGATATGTATAAAATAATTCAGAATGTCATAAAAATGACTGTTTCCCCTGGAAATAGTTTAGGAACACATATTTCTGACTCAGCCCATGGGTCAATCCAGAACCAGGGGGCAGTTTCCTGGTGAAGGAACGGGGATTGACAGATGCAGAGTAGGAGACAGAGAGACGGAGACAAGTCGAAGTTCGATCAAGCCTCATTTATTGATAAAGTGGTTGCTGCTTTCATAGGGCAGGGGCGGGTCAGTGGGACAGGAAGAGGCTATGGGGTGATCTCTGATGGGTCATCTGAGGGACAGGCGGGGAGATAGCAGCGGGGCAGTGGCACCACTCCCTACATCTCTTCCCGTTCTATATCTTTTAATAAGGAGTATGGTAGGCCTTGTGAGGACAGCGCCTTTCTTAGGTCAAGGACCTCTTTACATGAACCCAACCGGGCCTTACCCATCATGGGCTTGCAGGACAGCAGTTGGCCCTGTGCCTGTCTTAGGCGACCGGTGGTGTGGCATGTATGTCCTAGTTGCCCATCTCTGGCTGTCTGTCCATTGTCTCAGGGCAGTTAGGCCACATCATCATATGGGCCACTCGTGGGAATTCTTTCCCGGTAGGTTTGTTGATCTGCCATCTCCAGCTGGTGATAGTGTACCTGAATGGGCTTTGCCATAAACGTGTCTATCCAGTTATTAATGAGCACCGTAATCCTCTGAAAATTACAAGGACCCACAGAGAGGAGAAGCAACAAGGCAGCTAGGGGCCCCAGGAAGGGTGCTAGGTAGGGGAAGAGCCCTCCCCAGAGCATGGGGAAGGGGTTAGAGGCTATTTGTGACAGGATGTCCAAATCCACCCTTAGTCAAGGGTGGTCCAAGGAGGTTCTCAAGAAGGCACCACGTAATCCATTGGTTTGGCATTTTCTATAAGGAAGCACAAGAAGTTGCCTCAGGGTATGTTCATCTCACACCGAGGGAGCTGCGAGGCCGGGCTATGGGCTCCCCAAGGTCATCCTGAATTGAAGGAAGGTAAAGGAGAGTGTCACAGTAGCTCAAGGGGCCTTGTATAATCCCAGCTTCTCCTGGAGCCTAACCTTAACATTTAAATGGGTGGTTTATACTAGTGTGCTCAAGTGTTTTGGATCAGAAATATCTTTTTAGATAGCGTAGGCTGGCCTTGAAGTCACTCCTGCCTCAGCTTCCCGAGCTGGGATTACAGGTGTGTGCCACCACATCCAGCTTAGATCTCCTTTTAAACACTCAGAAAAACCAAAAGCAGAAGAAACATTGGAGACCTTCGTTCTCCACACCTGGCATCCCCATCAAGTGCCACGGGGAAAGCAACAGAAAATAGCACCCTGTGCAGGTGGAGGGTTCACTGTGAGTTGCAAAGAAACATAAACTTCTTTTGTTTACAAAAAACACCTCCTGGGCCAGGGATTTAGCTCAGTGTATAAGCTCCTGCCTGGCAAGCAGGAGCTTGTGTTCGGTCCCCGGTATCAAAAAAAAAAAAGTGTCATTAGAGATCAGATGGGAAAGATTCTCACCCTTCCCTTTTGACACGAAAATAAGCCTCTGAAGCAAAAACTAAAAGCAGTATGTTAGGTTTTGTTTTTCTTTTTTAGTATATTTTTTATAGCCCAGAAATGATTGCAAGGCTTTGAGCATCTTATGGCCAAAGTTTGGAATCAGCTCACTATCTGATTAGCTTTAAGTTATTTTCTAGGCTTGCTCTTAGGTCAGGAAACAAATCAGTAAAATTGATTCAGAAAGCTCTTTTAAAAGTTAGTGTGCTTAGGTTTGCAGAGGGAAGCCTTAGAAAAGTGTGCAGACAGTGTAGTGACAGGTCCCTGACTGGTGGGGCAGGCCCACTTGGAGACATCAGGGGTTGACGCGGACACCGACCTCAGGGTAGGACCTGTCAGGACAAAACAGAGCTCAGCTCACAGCTGCACAGCTGACCGCAAGCAGGGTAGAAGCTTTACGTGCCTCAAGCACATTTTTTCAGGTTATGTTTTTGGTTCCTGTTCCTTGAAAGTCAGTTGTGGGATATGAGTTTATAATGAAATTTACTCCTTAATGCAATCATGGTAAAAGAAAAATAATAGTGACTAACTGAGGTCAAACAATTGTTTCTATTGTAAACCCTTACTCTTGCACCCAGCAGTCACCGGTAGGGTGAGGGGTCACGGGTTTCCCCTGGAGTGGTGCAGCCTCCAAGCCGTGGCACCCCCAACCCAAGAAGCCAGAGTTCCAACAGCTCTCACAGAAAGCAATGAGACAGTAGAGACTGGGAGTATTAACGTACTACAAAGGACATCAGCAGGGGGGAGGGGATAAGGGGTGATGTTTTTAGCAGTCTTTTCGACCGGGAGGGGGCAAAGCTTATAAATACCACGGCTCTGTATTCAGCTGGTACACTAAACAATGGTCATGGAAATATGTAGGGAGTGGGGCGAGTGCCCCACTGCTGTCTTCCCACCTCTACCCCATATGGGCACATAATGCACCTACATTAACCATAATCCTCTCCTATTTACGTCACATACACAGACGTGACAATGACCCATCAGAGATCACCCCACAGCCTCTTCCTGTCCCACTAGCCCGCCCCCTGCCCTATAAAAGCAGCGACCACTTTATCAATAAATGAGGCTTGATTGGACTTCCTCGACTTGTCTCCATCTCTCTGTCTCCTACCCTGCATCTGTCAATCCCCGTTCCTTCACCAGGAAACTGCCCCTCGGATCCAGATTGACCCGTGGGCCGGGTCAAGTGGCACCCGTTTGGGGCTCCTGGTATGAAGGGCTCAATGAGGGAGCCGTCCTGAGACACGTGCGTAAAAGTGAAACTACAAGTTTTGTGACCAACGCTACGCGGGAGCCTTCCGTGCCACTAGAGTCATGGTAAGTGGATGGCTATCCTTTCCCTTTTTTTGTGGCATGGGTCAGGCATTAAGTAATCATAAGTGCTTTGTGTCAAGTTTAAGTAAAGCTTTAAAGACAAGAGGGATAAAGGCTAAAGAAAAAGATTTATTGCAGTACTTTCAATTTATTCCTAAGGTTTGCCCTTGGTTTCCTTTAGAGGGCTCTATTGATGCAAAAAGATGGGAAAGAGTAGGAGATGCATTAAAAGATTACTATCAGGTCTTTGGCCTTGAAAATGTCCCGGTTACAGCCTTTGCCTAGTGGAACCTAATCTCAGACCTACTTACACAGTGCTGGCGAGACCCTCAAATTGATAAAACAATCACCCAAGGTGAAGCCGCCTTACGCGCTTCCACTTCGCCAACATCGCTCCCTTCAGGAGACGAGTCTAAACCTCCTTGCCCCCCCCCCAATGAGTCAAATGATATGTTAAAAAAAGCCCCAAGATAGTGGCCCGCCGCCATCTGAGCCCCTACCACCTGAGGCCCACCACAACTCTTTATATCCCAACCTCGCTCCTTTATAAGAGATCGATTGGAAACAATTAGCACATCATTTGGACCCTATCATAGCCCCCGTTTCCATAAAACCACCCCTTCACTATGATAAGACACCCAAACTGTCTGGCCCCTCTACTGCACTTCTCGACTTAGAGTCAGAGATTCATGACTTGCAACAACAGGACCAATTAGAACAAGAAAAACAAAGACTCATTCTGCAACTCCAAAGTTTACAAATGAGCAATTTAGATGCCACCCCTAAGATGGTGCCAGCTTCTAAAATGGCGCCTGCCTCACTTCCACCAAACGTACCTCTCCAAGGTACAAGATGGCGCTGCGCTGCTATCTCCACAAGTCATTAGGACCCATGTGGCAGCTTTAAAAGAATTAAAGACAGCCGTTGCCCAAAAAGGCCCTACAGCTGCTTTCACTCTTGCTGTTTTAGATTCTATGACCCAAGGTTGGATCATTCCAGATGAATGGAGGGATTTAGCCAAAGCTATTCTCTCTGGGGGCAATTATTTACTCTGGAAGTCTGAATTAATGGAGCAATGTGAAAATATTGCTAGAGATAATGCTGCTAGACAAAACCCCTGGACCCTTCCCATATTAACGGGAACTGGGGATTTTAACACCAAAGAGGCCCAAATGAGATATGATCCCAGCCTCTTTGCACAAGTTAACGCGGCCGCTACGAGGGCTTGGAGGAAACTTCCCTCCAGGGGTGATGTAACCTTCTCCCTCACCCAAATTAGACAAAAGCCAGAAGAACCATTCTCTGATTTTGTCGACCGCCTTGTACAGGCAGCCAAGTGCCTTTTTGGCACCGTTGAAACTAATGCAGCCCTAAGTAAACAATTAACCTATGATATCAGCTTGCCAAGCCACAATTCAGCCTCATAAAAAAAAGGAAGATCGGGGCTGGAGATTTCGCTCAGCGGCATAAGCCCCTGTCTTGCAAGCAGGCAGTCATGAGTTCGATCCCCGGTACCGATAAAAACGAAAAAGACAAAAAAAAAAAAAAAAAAAAAAAAAAAAAAGGAGAGTGGAACCTGAGTGCACTTTGCAGTACAGATCTGTAATGCCACCGCGGGGCCCCAACAGGAGAGCGAATTGCGGGCCAACCCTGTCTACATAATGAGTTTGATCCCAGTCCGGTCTACACACTGTGTTTGAAACCAGCTTCCAAAAAGTAGTGTGTTCGAGGCACTCTAGATCACCCGGACCACGTAGTAAGGCCTTGCCTCAGAGAGACAGAAGGTGTGTGGTACAGTTCAAACTTTGTTTTTCTGGACATTTCACACCTAAAACTTTTACCTGTGCTGTGTTACTTTTGTTCCCACTACACTCACTAAGGGAGAGCATTCCTATCAATGGTTGAGAAAATATGCAGGGCTCTTAGGCCTGACTCTCCATTCACCCTTTGGTCTCCATCTTTTTACTGTACAGATGCATCCCTTCTGAGGCAGAAAAAAACACCTGCTCCCAGACAGAACCCCCATCCCCGTCCCCACACCTTCCATCACCCAGTGCACCTGCCACCATTCAGCATCCCTCTTTCTGGCCTTCAACAAATCTTTTCCTCTCTGTTCAGTTTTTGTTTTTGCCAAACTTATGTAACTTCTTGTCCTTGCTCTGCTGTATGCTAAAAAGGTGGAATTCCGTGTAACTTTCTGTCCAATCAACTCATGGCGAAAGCTGTGTTCTTGTACCTCCTACTTGGCCATAAATCCTATAAACATCCTGCTCCCTCAGATTTGGGTGCTTGGCTCTTTGGGGAAGAATCCCAGCCAAGCATGCCAGTG